TTGCCACCGATTTACAAAACATTAATTTAATTAGTATTATATATTCTTATGTTTACGATTTTATTATATTTTTAGTTATATATGTTTTACTTTTTTACAATATTGTATGTATGTTATTCTATTCTGATCACCCTGATGATGGACGATCGTCCGAAAGCTTGGGACATTTAGTTTTTTCATAATAAAGTTTTGTTGGAGATACATAGAGTTTTTTCATTATGTTTGTAAATTTTACAAAGAAATGTATGGATCAAAAAAATTATTTGAGAATAACATTTCATCTGTTTTAACTGGAAAGATTCCATAGATGAATTCGTAGAGGGAAACTATTCTTGATTCCACTGTAGGAAATCCAAATAAATCCAATATTGTTAACAGCGTCCTTTTTGACAATTTATTTTCCTTTCGTCGTCTCCCTTTGGCCTCGTATCTCATGGTGAAAATTCGCGAAGAAGCGAAATTTCACCTTAGCTGATCGTGTTCCTTTACATGTCACTGATATTCCATAGATCATTTCTCAAAGTCCACATATTGAGGAAGGAACACAGCGATTTTCAGCTATTTTGAAGACGATCAACAGCGTCCTTTTTGGTACTAGAAATCGTACAATTTGAAAACACTAACTTGACGCTGAAATGGTTGGCGAAGACGCGTGTTTCACGCGAATACTTGGCCTGATCTTCCATTTTATTATCCATGTTTGGTACCAAAATAAACCTTAGAAACATGGCTTTCAGACTGGGACTGCTTCAATTTTGGAGGTTTTTACTGGCGCCTTGCGCGCACTGGTAAATAGCGCAGATAGCGGGAAATACGAACGAAAGATAGGCCAATCAAGTCTAGTGTAAACAATGTCAGACCTTTTAAATTCCTTAGAAATGTACAAGTATAAACAAAAGATCACAATATCAGCTGATGATCATTGTTTAAAATACCTGAGGGAAACGTGTGTTCCAGCAAATAATATTATTTACACTATGAACATTCCAAACGAGCACCTCACAAGCCACTAATGAACTCAATGATCGGGGCGTGCTATCCCAATACTCGTTTGTCGATGTTTTGAACGTTTCGATTTTAGCCCAGTATTGTATTAAGATAAAGGATCGTTGCACAAGAGTAGAAAATTTGATCTTCAAAAGTTCAAACCTCAAGGGAACTTGTAGAAAGCTCTATTTTGGTGGGAAAACCCGCTGTCTCGTCCCGGGCTCAGATGTCCGGAATTTCTGGCCATGTAAAAAAAATATATAAGATATTTTTGTACAGTTTTATGTGATGTGAAGTTCGAGTAGGCAAAAATGTTTAGTAGTCTCATTTTCTTGAACGAACGCTATCATACCATGTAGTTTTATCAGTGGGAGCAAAGTTGTCCCAGTCGGTGTAAAGTCGTGAGGAAATCGCCGAGCGCTCGTTAAAAACCTAACGTGGATTAAGAAAGTGCTTGCATTTTATATCAGTGCCGGCCTAGAGGCGTGGGCACGGTAATAAAGACCTTGGTCGGATAAATAACGTTTAATAAAAAAACTGGTATTCATGTTTTTAGATTTGATATTGAACTAGTAGTCAAAATAGCGGGAACTAGCGGCAAACTAGTGTGAGCTGCCCCGGGTTTTTCTAAAGAAGCAGTTGTCTTACTCCGACGAAGGATTAACGTCGGAAACGTCAGTAAGTTACTTCATCTACTTTTTCTCGGTGTTTAATTTATCTTTTTACACAACTATTGAACTAGTAGCTTTTTTATCGTGTACTGGTAGGTAACGAATTTATGAACTATAAAGAGACTCATTATGAACAATTGTAGAACTGAAAGAACTCTCGATTATCAAGCGCAAATCCACAAATTCTTGTACTACTTTTCTAATGTAGTATCTCAATAAAATGCAAAATACTCACTAAATTCATCAATTTTTTGCTTCATAGAAAAATGTAACTTGCTTTTCACACGTTATTTTACAATAAGATGTAGTTAAGGTTATTACGTTTTTGATTTTTTACTTCCAGCTTCAAGTTGCTTTGTTTATCTATAGTTTATACCAAAGATTCTATGCACTCAAAACCTACAAGAAATAGTAAGACTTTATGCAGAATACTCATAAGTAGTTGTTTCCAAGTTTTCGGATACATTTTTGTATAAATAGCTGATTTTTTTCCTGTTCTACTTCTAGTTTTGAATCGCACTTGACAAAAAATGGTGACGTCAAAACCATGTTTACATACTCTCATACAAACACGGTAGTCGACCAATCAGAACGCGCGTAGTATAGAAGAATTACTCAAAGTATATAGGAAAAGTCTCACTGGTCAACTTGCAACCCGTTGCCTCCCTCTATCTGAGAGCACCGCTTTTCTCACAAATATTTCACGATATGAGTGAAATGACACAGAAATCATAATATTTTCAGTAATGTGGGCTAAAAAGACGGGAATTTTGGCTGAATATGGGATTTTTGCGATGAATACTTATCGAGCATTTCTAAGCTGGATTGATGCCGTTGGCATGAAAACAACTGTACAGTCGACTCGGAAAAGAGTGGGGAAAGTCAAGTGTTAAGACGCGAGCGCGGTCAAAAAGGCGCGAGTAGTTGAAATTGAACCATCTTTCTTTCAGATCATTAAAGAATGGATTTTGTTTGAATTTTTTTATTGCAAAGAAAGTCTCAAATGTTATAAACAAAGTTGTCTTGATTCCCTCGGTCCAACTTACGGAAAATATAGAAGTTGGACTGATTACCATAGCAACGGTCCAATACGGCTCTGGACAGACCGCACGTCAACCAAAAACTACCTGTGAGGAGTGTCGTGTAGTAAAATAATGAATGTTGAGGTAGTGAGTATGAGTGAATATATAGAGGGCCACAAGTTTATTAGTGCAGAGACTATTACGTGCTACCCTCTCGAAATATAAGACTTTATTTATTTATTTTATTTATTTAACCAATCAGAATTCAGGAAATTTACAAGCTATATAATACTAGATAATCATTTTCTTCTATATTGTTATTGGAGCTCCGCTATTAGGTGTTACCTAATTTTTATAATACTATTTTTTGCTTTATTTTATTGTAAGACTGTTTATTGTGAAATAAAAAGATAATCCTATACACTAATATTTTTTTGTTAGAATCCTAAAATTAATAATGGATGATTGATCGACAAACCCATCACGAAACCTACCTCTAATATGTTTGAGCTACCTGTGATCGACACTCACTTAACTCACTGGTTTGCTACTTCGGCAACTACTTCGCATTCGCTAAACTGCTGATATGGAAGAAGAAAACAATGGTTTGATCACTACAATAAAGGTATATTACTAGTTAAATGAAAATAATTATAACTAAAAGAGTAAGATAGACAGATATAGAGTAAACGCGCTTAAAGCGTGAAATATGATCAAAACAAATGTTATTATCTTATCATATAATTATCTATGAAATACCTATATTTTTACCATTACGTATAGTTGTTATTTTCACTAATGAAAATAACACATTCGCGGTATCTCTATATATTGGAGGTAAGTAAAAGTAATTATAAAACATAATTTGCTTTCACTGATAATTTGAAAACAGAACATTGCATGGTCGCTTGGAGACCCCTTGGTGATACGAATTTTATCTTCTTTGAAAAGCAAGATGTTCTTTTCAGAGATCTTTTCAACACTAGAAGATAAAATCCGTATCTTCGCGCGACCACCATGTAATATCCTATCTATGTCTTGATAAGTAATAGCCGACTTTAGATATTTTGGTTCATTGACCATGCACAAAAGAATTGCAGACGAGGCTCCGGGGAAATAAAGAATAAATCAAGATTATCCATTGATAATTTTATTTTTTTTTAATATTGCAAAGAGTTATTTTGAAGTGCACGCTTCAAAATGACCAATCAAAGAGCGTATAATATCGTTTTATTCTTTATTTCCCCGGAGCCTCGTCTGCAATTCTTTTGTGCATGGTCACTGAACCAAAATATCTAAAGTCGGCCATTGTCCATATCACACTCTCTAAACAAGATGAAATGCACACAAGGGAATTTACAACTACCTAATGTTTATTTTGCATTTGAATTTGTATATCATAATTGGGAGAATAGCCAAGAATACAGGGTGGTTAAAAAAACAATCATGGACTAATGAAGAGTTTAATGAATTTCGATCAAACAAGAACAAAACAAGCAGATGTGAAGGATTAGTCAATTTTGTCTTTCAGACAGCAATTTATAATGTTGCCACTGCCTTAGCGGGCTTCACAGCAATCGGATACATTTTTAAAAACAATCTGAGGATAAATTATGGAATTTTACAGAATCCCAGACTTCTGTAACAACTACGAATTTTTGGCATATAATGCCCTAGGGACGTTTTTGGCACATTTTGGTCTAAATTTCCTTTTTTGAGTTATCTTGCCAATTCTTGATTGTTTTCGCAGTTTTGCAAATTTAGAGGAGGTCGACATGTGAAATCTCCATTCCTTATCTCTATCTCATGAATAACAATACCCGGGGAAGAGATATATAGAGTTTATTTCATGGAAAGTGCGACGTACGGGATTTTATTCACGAGTTGTTTGCATCATACAACGAACGAGCGAGGAACGAGCGAGTGAGTTTATGATGCAAACAACGAGTGAATAAAATGCCGTACAAAGCACTTTCCATGCTATAAGCTGTTTATTATATATATAACGAGACTTTCATTCGGCATACTTTTTAATAAGCTTGTTCAACTATATAAACAAACTCAATGAGCTTATGTCGAAAAAAATGCACAGATAATAACTTAAGAATATATTAACTTGATAAAACTTAAGGCTTACAAAAAAACAACTAAATTAATAGTCTTACTTTCCACTAAGCTGCAGGAACGTCCAAGTTTTCGTGAGATTTTATAGTAATAGGAACAAATAACAGTTCTTCGTCGTGAAAACTACTTCTCTTGGTCAGTACTTATGTAAGATAACGCGCTGCAATTTCCGTCTTCGTTTGAGCTGACTTTGCTTTCCTACATGTACATCTCTTGTCTTACTGAAGTCCTGTTTTTCTATATTGCATGGAGATAAGTTTAAATTTTGCAGAAAACGATCAAAACTTGGTATAAAACGGCCTCAGAACTCATGGTGAACACCAACGAGACAAATTTCTGTTCGTTAAAGTTATAGTTTTGGCTTTTCCATGCTTTCGTGTTCATTCTGTATGGCAAAAAAACTTAATTCTCTTGAAGAAAAACATCTCTTCTTATTTTGCTTTAGTTTGTTTGCCTTCCTGTCCACTAATAAACTCTTCAAATGTGGAATTTTGATCAACAAACACAGTTCACCTTCAGCCATTTTGCCATCAACGCGCGGTATGTGACTAAGAGAAGCCATTTCAGTGTTTTGAACGTCGCTTTCTGATTGGCTGATTACGGTTTTTCTGTGTTGTGATTGGTTATATTTTTATAGTGTGAGAAATGCTATACGTGCTTCTGATTGGGCATATCGCTTTTTTCACATGTGAAAATATAGCATATAGATTTCTATTTATGCCATTTACTCTATGAAAGTCTCGTTATATATATAATAATACACTATATGTACGTCATGATTCATCAATATTCACCAATACATGCATCAGGAGTTTCGGAGAACAATGCATCCGCCATCTTGAAAAGTGAGACTCAAATCACTAAATTATAACTCCTAGAGAAATTAAAAGGTTCTAAGTTAATGTAAATCTAATATAATATACGTTATGATGATAGACTAGTTGACTAAGCAGCTATGAAATTTGTTCTAAGGCAAAACAGTGATTCAGGGCTCACTTTTCAAGATGGCGGACACATTGTTCTCTGAAACTCCTGATGCGTGTATCAGCGCGCGATTTAATTATGAGATTCTATGCAGTATTCAACGTTTTGGAAATAGCTGTATAATAATTGTTGATTGCCTTGTTTAACATGATTTCGAGTGACATCTTATTTAATTTGCTTGCAGATTTTTTGGTCAGTTCTTTTACTCCTCTACTCACTCAAATCGCACTTTGCATATTCACAAGAATTTGGTAAAGTTTATCATATTAATGAAGACCAGGAATACGGCTTTGCTCTTATTGGATCTGTGCACAGATCGTTCGGACCTACAACTTATGCACTTTGTTGGTTGGAATGTGAACAAGACAAACGATGTAGGAGTTTGAACTATCACATGACAACAGCAACATGTGAGCTGAACAAGAGAACCAAGAACTCTCAACCGTTAGAGAATTATAAGAGCAAGAATAACAGCATCTACTGCCCTTGGACACTCTCTAACAGTAAGTGATTCATGAACCATGTGATACGCCTACTTGAACAAAAATGTTGTCGGACTACAAAAGGCTTCATGTCATTCATCATTAAGTCTAAGACCGAAAGAGGAAATGGGAAGACGATATTACCGATCTGCTTTAGTCAAAACCTTTGCCTGCACTGAATAAATTGACTTTTTTTTACTGGTAATATCATTCTGTAATAAGGTTAATTAAATATACTTCGAATTTTTTAATATTTTACATCTATTAAGCGTGGATTTCACTAGCGCATAAGCATAGCATAAGCACAAGCATGAGAATCATATGCGYCAGTGAGAACGGCCTCGACATAAGTGTAAGACATTGATCATGCGCACGAGCGTATTTTTTTCGGTACCAGGCTATGCTTATGCCTATGCAGTCCCGTTCTCACTGARCATAAGCATGGGATAAGCATGAGATAAGCACAAGAAGATCAAGCCTTGCTCGTTTTTTTGTGCTCATGCTTATGCTTATTTTGAGCCCGTTCTCACTTGCGCATATGACTCTCGTGCTTTGTGCCTATGCTTATGCGCTAGTGAAATTCACGCTTTAGTGGAAATGTAGATATCTTTTACAAGAGAAATTTTGGTTCAAAATATGAAAGAACAACAATAGTGTTAATATAAGTTATGATGTCTTTGATAAAAATCTATAGCAAAAATATTGGGAATGTTCATCAGAATTTACGACAATATAATCTGKGAATTTTCATAGGGGCATSGCTTTAATTGTGAAATGGAAACTCTTTTTAGGGCCAGTTTGGGAAAAAGTCAATGCTAATCCTGTTTGTTTTGGGGCAAGAGACAATAGATTTGGTAGTTTCCTGATCAACGTGAGGCGCGGATTGGTTAGCATGGTACAATTGATCCATTTGTCTGGAGGTGTAACTTGCAAGGTCGGCGGACAATTGAGCAATTGGGGATGTGACGATGGGTGGTTAGCTACTGTATTCACAGACAAAAGCAACAACAGACTCGCTCCTGAAGATCGATGGATCGTCGATTGGAACAAGCTCGTTTACAAAATTGGAGATATTGATCCATTTTTGTCAAAAATTCGATTGAGGTTAATAATACCTATGAACATAACCGCTGGTCAAGAGTATCGTTTGTGGTACGGCGAAGATTTAAAAGATGTTTCGGAGGTTGATAATAGTGGTACAGTCTGCGTTGACGTCAACATGTACGGAAATTATTAGTCGGGCTAGCCATAGTTTTACCTTTTTGCCAATCTATCTGTTTGTCATGTCGYGTTTGGTCACCRGAAGTCTAAATGTAGAATCCGGAAGTAATCAAAGACCTCTATCTCGGGACTCCTGTGGCATACGTCACGTGACGTAATATATTGGAATTATGTCATTTGTATGTCATATCCGTTGTACCTACAGTGTTTCATCATTTGTAAACACATTTTGCGTGATTTATATACTAATATTTTTGCTTACTGAGAACAATGTGGGAAGAACTGTTCTTCATGAAACTGATTGAAAATTATGAGCATGCTCAGAGTAATGAAACGTCCATCCAACACATTGGAGTTAGTAGGGCACAGGTAGCCCAGAGTTAAATATACGAGAATAATCAGGTAATCACGTGACACCTACGAAGTAACATGCCAACCAAAATTACCCATAATTTCCTGGTTTGATAGCACAGGAATACCAACATCACATGGTCATCCTTATTATCCATAATGCTTTACTTTACTAGTACTTGTCAAATGGTGCTCTGCTTGTATGCTACGTTTCATCGACTTTTTGCAATCAAATGTCAAAAACAAGTTACAAATGAACACGCCGTTCGCGGTAGGCTCACACTAAAAGRTGTTGCAGGAAAATACTAGTTCTTTTAGTCAACAGTAATCCTAACAAGCCCAAATTCTACAGTAATTATAGCAGAAATCACATGTATAAAGGACGCCATATTGGAATTCTTCGACAAGAAGATGAAGGATCAGATCTCTACAATCAGCCCTAGTCTCACAGTGATAAGTTAATTTGTTGTAATTTCCACTATTTACYACAAAATAGTGTTAATTAAACAATACAAAACAATAGAATTAGCATAATTTAGCAGTATTTAGTGGTATTTATGTTGTACAGTTTTAGTGTTTGCCGTACTCTAAGGTAAGATGYTTTACATAATAATAATGAAAATTGCAATTGCAATTGTAACCAATGACAATATTAAACCTCTAAAATGTCAGTCTGCTATTTTGGAAAAAAATTGAGAAAGACAGGATATTTTCCTGGCTCGATATTTCTATCGTTTTGACGTCGTTGCGTGTGAGTAAACAATTAGAATTTTGAACAGTACATTAATTAAAATGAAAGTAATACATTCTAGCTTTCACTAAGTATTAGAAGTAAAAAATATATATTCTATRCCATAATTTACATTCATAGATAAACATATGATAGACAGAATATAACATCATAATCTTATATAATCGTGTTACACTCGTTCGCCTATATRCACACCCATGTAATATCCCATCTTTCTCAATTTTCAAAAATAGCTAGCCCAACTTCACGCTCTAAGAGCATCTAGTTACTAAAAGCAATAGTCAACCGCGACCATGGGATAGCTGCACATAATGTTGACAACTTGGACTTCTTGTGATCCTCCTTGAAATGCTTTGAAAACTAACAAGGCTATATTGCTCTAAGAGCAATGATGTTTCGGCCCTCTACAGTTCACTGCAGTGCAGTGCAGTGCTGCGTTTGTCTTATTTGTCTATAAATAGGCTGCCTTACAAATAGGGGGTGGGGGTGGGGGTGTTTTCTTAATAATACGGACCTACGTTAAATGTTTGATAAATTAGTTTAATTCACAGTTAATTCACAGTATAGCGTGTAAGAACTGGCTGCTATTATGGGCAGATCAAAGAAATTACTATCTAAAACCAGTTCATTTCAGTTCAAAAGCATTTTAAAATAGAATAAACTGAAGAACACCGGACCTTTYAAGACTTTTAAGCTTGTGGGGGGAAGGCTCGTTGAAATCAGAAGGTTTACAATGCCTAGTGATTGTTATTTTTAAAAAGCTGGATATTTGTTGTTTCGATTTGCTCCAGGAACAAACCTTTTCCATAATTCAGTCATAGTACCCTTTGTAAACTCCTAAAGCAACTGTCCTCTGCTGTCACGCAACGCTATTTTATCATGACAGATGTATTAACATAAGCGAACTCGATCAGTTAAATTTAAACGATTAAATAGTGACACGGTGAAAGTAATACGAATCTAAGTTAGKGCAAGTCTATGAACGTTATATTAGCGTAAATATGATTTTAAGTCTTTAAAAAATAGGATTTCAGTGATAATACAAAWTACGGTTCCGTAAAAGCGAACGATCTACAATGCTACGGCTAGCTATAAAACATGTGAAGTTCACCGGGAATCGTCAGTTTGTACTAAAAAGTACAATGTCCTGGAAGGTTTTTATTCAAATCGAGAGTTAGATGCATGGGCCTGAGAAGAATAGCTCACACTTGTTTGAGATAAGCTATTTTGATACTTTGAATGAATATCAAGAACACATGAGTTACGAAACAGAAAGTTCATTCTCGATATGTGATTGGCTAATGCTGATTACGAGGAATCTGATTCGCTGAACTGTAAGATGATTGACAGAGGAGACAARAAATTATGGGTTTGCAAACTGATCTTAGTAGCGTTTCGGCCTGAGGGGCCGAAACAAAAAACTTTGACAACTTGAAAATTCCTTGAAATAGGAATTCTTGATATGACGATCTGTCTACGTTTTCTTACAGTTGTGTAAAAAGATAAATGTAACACCGTAAAAAAATTAGGTGAAACAACTTAATCTGACGATTCAGACCTTAATCCTTCGTCGGAGTAAAGAGTTTTTTTTAACCCATTCATTGAAATAAGCAGATTTTTGTAACAATCACCACTAGAAAAACATCCCAAAAATTCAAGCGACATTTTGAAATGGACTAATCCGAACTAATCAATGGGCAAATATAACAAAAAACAATTCCAGCAAAGTGCGGATACAGCTTCGGCCTCGTTCTCAACAGGGAACTTGATCAAAAAACTACATACGATTGTGAAATGAAAAATTAAACTCTGAAAAATAATGCATGATTGAAATAATTAAAAAATCTTATGTTATTCATCGCAGAATAAAGTTTGAATATTGAAATGTCTTGTGTATATTGCTCTTGTGTCATTTTGTTGGTGAATAAAAAAAATAGAGTAATTGAAATCTCAGGCATTTTGCTGTGATAATTGCCCTATCGCATATTTACGTCACACCAAATCATTCTATTGTTTAAACGCTATTATAAAAATTTTGATATATAACGCGCGCTCTGATTGGCTGACGGCCGTGTTTATATCAGAGGAAAGAGGCACGGCTTACCGGCAAAATTTTCTTTTCGCTCGAAAAATTTTATAAAAGAAATATAAAACGGCCGCTTGTGTCTCTGTCCTCTGATATAAA